GGTTTGGGACACAACAATTCATCAAATAAAATTGTCCAAATTAGAAATTTAATAAAAATATTTTGGATGCATATATTTAAAATAACTCAACATAGTTTAATTGTTACTAACTTAAACTACAAAATGACGTTGAGATTATCCTGATTGGTGATCTAAATCAAAAGTTATTAGCCTGCAAAGTTCGGTATTTTCTTAATAAACAGTAGGATTTGAAACATCTAATTCCAGCCAGAAATTGACAAAATTCTATAATTTAGGCCAGAACTATGACTGGCTGAGAGGTAATGTAGATCATAGAATTTTTTCCCATGGCACGACTAAAGAGACAAGCATAACACTGTCAAAAAATAGCTAAAAAAAGAAAAAAAGCTGTGAAAGATTTGTTCCAGATTTTATTTTTGAAAATATTGATGATTAATAAAGTAAAACATTTCCCGATATGGTTTGATTTTTAACCAATTGCAAATTAGTGTTATATATATCACGTGATTTTTTAAAATCTCAATTTGAAACAACTTGATGATTTGTTGTGTCCCCAACTATACTAAATTTCTGTTGACATAGCACCCCTGGTGACATAACCATAACAATGTGGGAATATGATTTGTACAACTGAATCACTTGATTGATCTTTCTACGAACTGAAACGAAATAATTATATTAATATTATTAATAATATTGCTAAATTGCAATTGATACATAATATAATGCATACTAGAATAATACATATAGATTAGAAGACAAAAAATGACAACAACAAATAATATCAAATTATAAAAGTCACGTGAACTTTTATTGCTCTCCTTCTAAATCAGCAATTTCTAAATCAGCTGCTTGATTATCATCCGTCATATGTTTATCATAAACATCATCAACACGATGATCAACTTCAATGATTTCATCATCATCGTCAATAGGTGTTATAGGTGTTTTGGGCGAAGATTCATATTCACATTCTTCAGAATCCTAAATAAAGAAATATAATATTACTAGTAATTTAATTTAAAACATTACATACAATTCAGTTAAGTACTTACCACATCTGTATCTGTTATATTTTCAGTCCATTAATCGACAATGTCTGTATCGATTTTTGACGAAAGGTGTTCCTCATCAAATATAACTTCTAATACCGACTGAACCCAAATGGCATGCTCTTTATTAGATGCAAAAACTGATTTAATTATTAACGAAATATAAATATCAGATGACAGATCATGTGAGTCGCTCGGTTTGTATAAATCTTCATGGACCTGTTAAATGTTTTTACTTGCTTTCTATATTCGCATCTGTTGTTTGCTGAAATTATCTTTGAATGGCATTATTCTATTAATACCGAAAGTACTCCATAAACTTTCTTTCAATTTTCTAATGTAGTAACCTTTTTTAACGCGATTTGCAGCAAGTAACTATATTTAATAAAATAAATAAGTTGTTATAAATTTGGCAATTAATAACTAATATATAATACAAATATTACTTACTTATAAATGTATTCTATCATCTCACAAATAATCGAACGAAACTCCTTTTCTGAACAACTTCATGAGTATTTTGGCAGATGTTTCATCATTTTTTAATTTTTCTTTAAAGCGATTTTTCATTTATCAGTCGGTTACTCATCAATGCTCATGAAATAATTCATAAGAAAGATCTTTAATCGCATTCTTAATACATACAAATTGTTATATTTAGTAAATAATATAAAGAAATACATAACTTTAAAACATATATTTACGTGATAAAATTCATCTGAGTTTTTGTCTTTCTTTTTCGTTTTACCCTTTTTTTTAACCTCGACTTCAGTTTCAACGTTGCGATGAGAATCTAATACCGACATTATATTTGAAATCTGGTCTTTTTGTTCATTTAACATAGCTTTAAACCTTTTTTGATTATTAATAATCGTGTTGAGTTTTGATGCTGTTTTTTGATTAATTTGTATTAATTTGGCAAATTCACCAGAACTAACTGCTATAAATTATCATTAATAAGAATAATAAGAACCAATTTGATAATTTATTAACAAAACAATAATGAACAAACAGTATATATCATATCTAACCTTGATCCGTTACTTTAAATAATGATGTTGTCACATTATTATCTAATGGCAATTCTTTACTAATCACTGCCTTAACGCTGGATGATGATGATTTACTAGAACTGGATGCTGCTTTACCAGATGCTTTGCCAGATGTTATTTTACCGAATGCTGCTTTACCAGATGCTGTTTTACCAGATGCTGCTTTATCAGATGCTTTATCAGACGCTACTTTATTAGACGCTTCTTTATCAGATATCGTTGTTTTAATTGAAAAAGGAGGAGAAATTACCACTGAAGGAATATAAGAGGATATTTTACCAGATGCTGCCTTATTACCAGATGCTGCTTTATCAGATATCGTTGTTTTAATAGAAGAAGAAGGAGAGAAGGAAGGAGGAGAAATTACCACTAAAGGGATATAAGAGGATATTGTTGATGATTCATTTATTGCCTGATAAAAACAATAAAATGTATTTAATAAACTAATAATGAATAATATAAACAATAACAAAATTGATAACTGATATTACTTGAGAAGATCCTTTGGTAGTTTTATTGGTACTGATAATAATCTCATCAATATCTCTATCACGAAACAAATCTAACCTTGCAATTTTCGTCTTTTTTGGAGTCTCTATTTGTGAAGCGTCTGAAATTGTTTGATGATTGGCTTTGGTATCTGTTAATTATAATGTATTTTTAGATATTCGTTCACACAAGTTCAAAAAAAAACTAAAATAAAACCTTTCAAATTATTTTGTTCGTTGATCTAAAAGATATTAATTATATAAGTATATTTATACAATCATAATAATTTACAACCAAATATATATAATAATTTAAAATTAAAATAATTACTTCTGTATTTATACTTGTTGACGATCTAGTAGATCTAGTAGACCTAGTACTAGATTTAGTAGTAGGTTTTAGGCGTTTTAAATTATTAAAATCTAAAGAACGTTTGCTGCTGGTTTTATTATTATTATTTTTGTTGTCATCGTTATCCATTGATAAAAAGATGACTGGCAAGAGAGAATTAATTAATTATTAGAATGTGAGAATAAGAAAAAAAAAATATTAGAATATGAGAAAAAAAAATAATCATTTTTTAACTCTTATGTGTGATGATCTACTTGATTTACCTATACGTAAGTATACTCAAGTATAGTTGTTTTCAAAATTCAATTGGCAAATCTGAAATCTGAAATTACAAAATTGTAGTGATCAGATTTTGATAATTTTACTACCATTCGATTCGTCTCATCGAGACGAATCTAATGATATGTGCTTCATTTTTATAGCACCGATATTGATGGAGTTAATTTACTATAAATATTTAATGAATTTTAGTGTCGGAGCATGATCTAGTAATTAGATTTGAATGAATTTACCACTATTCGATTCGACATTATGAGACGATTCTAATGGCGGTAAGATCATCTTTCTAGCATTTAAATTGACGGAGCTATTATGCTATAAATATTTAAAAGTTATTGGTATCAGATAATGTTCCAAAAAAAATCTGATCTGATTTGTATCCACGAATCTGATCTGAGACAGATCAGATCAAATCATAGATTTTATGATCTGTAATCTGATCCAGATCAAAAAAATTTGATCTGATTTGGATCGAATCAAATCAGATTAACAATTCATTCAAATCAGATCAGATCAGATTTGATTCAAGCGGATTCAGATCAGATCTGGATCAGATTAGATCAAAGCGCCCTGTTACCACAGGTCGAAAAGTGTCAAATCAGTCACCAATCAGTCACCAATCGGGTGCCTGATTGATGCCTGATTTTACCAATCTGATACCAATCGGGCTGCCCGATTGATACCTGATTTCCGCCAAAATCCGACACCAATCAGTCACCTATCAGGCTGCCTGATTGTTGACAGATAGGTGACAGATTTATGACAGATTGGTAACCGATTGGTAACAGATTGGTAACAGATTGATGACAGATTGGTGACAGATTGGTGACCGATTGGTGACAAATGATAGTTAATTTTATGGTCAATCGATGGTCAATTTATAGTCAATCAATGGTAAATTAATGGTCAATTTATAGTTAATTTATGGTTAATTTATGGTCAATTTATGGTCAATTTATGGTCAATTTTATGGTCAATTTTATGGTCAATTTATGGTCAATTTATAGGTCAATTTATGGTCAAATAACCAATTGGTAAAATTTTCTAGTAGTAATCATATAACCAATAATAAAATTTATTACAGCACATAATAATATTTATTAAAATTATAAACTCTACAAATAATAAAATACATAGTGTCTTTATTTATTTATATTAATAAGTAGTGTAAATAAACATAAATAATTAATATTTAAAATAAAAACCATTCATAATCTTTTTTAAAAACAGATGTTAGTATATAACTGATAAAGTTAGTAATATTTAATAAATAGTAAAGAGTAAATATAAAAAGTTAGTAACCGTAGTAAAGTACAAATAAATAATAAATACAGTTAGTATTATGAAGAGTTTGATAAAATATATAAAAAAAAAGAAAAATACATGATGATGTTAGTAAAAATAAAGAAATATAACATTACATTAGTAATATTAAAAAGTGATAAAGTTAATATTATAAAATAAAATATAGTCAGTACAATAAATTTAATGACAAAAATACAATAATTAATATACCTGTAAAATGTAAAGAGAATAAGAAAAAAACAAACAGAAAAGAAAGAGCGTGTATATTTTTTGAAAAATAAACAAACTCGAGTTTGGTAATTTATATGCATGTTAAGATCAGGTCACGTGCATAAAGATCAGACCGAATTTTAATTGGTTAATAATAGATAAATATCGCATCTCCAGAAAAAATTTCAATTTTTACCGTCTCTCACTTTTAAATTTGTATTAAAATTTACCTTAGACTTTCGGAGACCTAAATTTTTTTAAAATTGTTTAATTTATTTAATGTAAATTTAATAAAAAGTATATTGTTT